ATATATTGACTCGTGAACAATAACGATCGAGGTAAAATAACGCTATTAATTGTAAGTTTTTTGTATTTGTATAAGTAATAATATGTCATAATAAAAATTTTAGTTGCTGAGGAAGTCTCAAATATAGGGACGAAACGTTCAACTGATTAATAGACCGTTCATCTAATTTAAACCTGTCCAAAAAAATATCCCTAAGATTGAACTTAATAATAATACTTATATATTATTTTTATTAATTTATTGTTATATCATAAATGATAGAGAATTACAGACCTTGAAATACTACTGTAAAAATTGTTGTAAATATCCATTGATAAAGCGGTACTTTTTAATATTATTCCTTACAACTTGAAAAAAACAGTACATTCTAAAACAAAAAACTAGATGAAAAGGGCATGTGTAGAAAAATGAAATTCAGTATGCAATTCGGAACCAAAACTTTTCAATTAAAATTATTTAATGAATAATGAAATTTAAAGAGAAAAGAATTTAAATGACCAATAAATGGACATTTAAAAATATCGAATTCTCTCTATGCATTAGAAAATGTGTTTTTCTATATTTAAACACAAGTGAATATGAAAAAATGCATGTCTCTGATGCATGCTTTTTTCAATCTACAAATATATGAATAGAAAAATGTTTCAATTTCATACAAAATTATCAATCGATTAATACAATTACAAATACACATAGGAAATTATTCAAGACACATTATAAAAAAACTTAATCAATTATGAATATCTTACAATATTTAAAAATTAATTAACCTCGCTTTCAAAGGAAAGAAAAATTACAAATATTGCACCTTGCGTCGTATTAAAAAATGCATACGGAATTATGCATATAACTATAACGAGATCAAATCTATGTTTGATCGATAGAGTACATAAATCTATTATTTAATTACATTTATATTAACGCGAAGTATGCAGTTACATCGACGAGTGTCTAATGTACATATTACATCACTTAAATATATACAAGACACTTTCTTATTTTTAGTAAACTATAAAAAAAACAAAAAATAGTTACACAATTTTCGAAGCACATATTTTAAATAAATATGAATTGAAGTGTATCAATGCAATATAAAATATTAAAAGAAGAAAAATTGAGATACAAATATATTAATTGAACAGTGACAAAAAATTGRTAATTAATTAATTGCTAGTGCTTGCTTTAACAGATTCTAAGCTAATCAAGTCTTATAGATTGTTAACCGGAATAA